CTGGCGGCGGGAACACAGGACCGTAGACAGAAAGGTCAGGAGGCGGTGGGGAGACACCGGCGCGCGGTCCGGGGAGGGAAGGCCGAGCAGGCGGAGAGCGGAAACCGGCGGCGACGGCTGCTGCGGCGGCGACGACGGCTGGGCCGGAACTCTCGGACCAGCAGAGGCAGAACGACCGTCGGCAGAACACTCAACAGCAGCACCCCCAGAACCAACACCCCCAGAGCGAGAACCCCCTCCAACACCAGCGGCACCCCCAGAAGCCGCAGGACGAACACCCTCCTCCACACCAGCACCCCCAGGGGCCGAGAGCAGCGGCGGCAGTGGCGGCAACGGCTGCGGCGGCGGCGACAGCGGCGACGGCTGCGGCAGCGACAGCGGCGGCGGCGGCGACGACAGCGGCGACGGCTGCGCGGGCGACGGCGACGGCGGCGGGCAGCGGGGTCGGCGACTGCGACAGTGGGGCGGAGGCACCGGGGAAGGGGGACGCTGCAAGGACGGACCGGGGGTACCACCAGAGTCAGCAGACTCCTCAACGGGGACAACCGACGGGAGGGGAGTGACGTGGGAGACACCAGACGGGGCAGGACGAGGCGGGGAGAGGGGCAGGGGCTACCGGGGGAGAGGGAGCAAGGAAAAGGGGGGGGGCAACTGGGAGACCTCGGTGAGGGAAGCGCGGTAGAAGGAGACGGACTCGTCAAAGGTGACGTCACGAGAGTGGAGGAAGCGGTGAGACGGCGGGTGGTAGAAAAGCCAGTCAGACGAGTCCAGGGGGAAACCGAGGAAGACACAGGGGACAGTACGGGCAGTGAGCTTGTCCGTGCCAGAGGCACGAACGTGAGCAAGGCAGCCCCAGACGTGGAACGCAGACGCGTCACCGGGGGACCCGGTCCAAAGGAGGGTCGGCGAAACCTGCGGCCGCTGGGAGCGTGGCCACAGGTTAAGCTGGTGAGCCGCGTAGCGAACAGCGAACGGCCACAGAAAATGGGGGGCATCGGCATGGATCATGGAGGTACGGGCGACCTCCATGACCAAGCCGATGCGGCGCTCAGCAACCCCATTCTGCTGTGGCGAGTCCGGCAACGTGTACGACTGGGTGATGCCCTCCGCACGACAGAACTGTCCAAGCCGACCAGAGGCGAACTCGCCGCCACGGTCGGAGTGGAGACACAACACGGGGAGACCGCGGTGGAGACGCGCAGCCACAACCCACGGGAGAAGAACGTCGGGCACGTCGGCCTTCCGCTCCAGGGGAAACACCGTGGTGTAGCGCGTGTAGTCGTCGACGAGCACAAGGAAGTAGCGCTCACCGCGCGGTCCGGGGACGGGGGCAGGGCCCCAAACGTCCAAGTGCAGGGTCTGAAGGGGGCAGTAGCAGGACGCAGCGAGGAGGAGTGAGGAGCACGGCGGAGCCGACCCTCGACGCAAGGCGTGCACGGTGGCGCAGTCGAGGGAGGAAGGGCAGGGAGCGACGCGGGGAGACCTAAGACAAGACCGTGCTGGGACATGTGACGCAGACGCGGGAGAGCAGGGTGACCTAAGCGGTGGTGCCAGAGAAGGGAGGGGTGAGTGAGGGACCGACACGAGCAAGCTGCAGCGACCTGGGAGGACGCACCAACCGGGGGGGAAGCGGTGTGTAGGGTAAACAGACCGGACACCGGGTCCCGGGGGAACGTCGCAAGGGGGGAACCTGAGACAGCCTCAGAACAGACAGCGAACCGCTCGTGCCCGGGGAACGTGGTGGTGACGCCGAGGTCCTGGAGACAGCCGACACCAACCAGGTTCCTGGAGAACGAGGGAACGTGGAGGCCAGTAAGGGAGCCCGAGGGAACTGCCGGACAAGGAAGGGACGTAGAACTGCGCGCGACGACCGGACCCGCAGAGGGGTCAGCGAGAGAGACAACAGCAGGTGCAGCAAGCGGCGTGAGCGTGGAACGGTCGCGGAAGAAGCAGGCAGAAGCACCAGAGTCGAGAGTGAAGGACAGCGACGCAGTGGTGGAGGCCGGGGACGGAGCCGGTGCAGCGACTAGACTAGGCAACCTAGGCAGTCCTACGCCTGTCGCAGCAGGGGAAGCTAAGCTACACAAGGGTGAAACACCTAAACTAGAGTACACAGGGTAGTAACATCCAGCAACACTAGAAGCGTCAGCATACAAAGCATGCAAAGCAGCACCTATCTGATCCATGTCTAACTCAAAGATCGGCACGCCCTGGCGGAGTAGGCTGTGCCAGTCAGGGAGGTCCGGGGCCGGGCCAAAGCGACGACGAAAAAGATCGTCGAGGCGGCGGAAACAGCGGGCGGTCGGGTGCGGGCGGCGGCACAGAGTGCCGCGGAGAGGCCCGGTCTGAAGCTGGTACTGGCAGGTCACAGCACTGGAGCCGCTGGTAGACGCCAAGCTGCGCGGGCCGCCACCACGGCCACCGCCTCCGGAGGTGCCGGGCCAACCAGGCGGGAGACGAGCCCACGGCTGCGGCGGGTGCTGCTGGGACGGCGGCTGCGGCTGGGGCTGGTCCTGCTGCTGCTGGGGCTGCTGCTCCTGCCCACCGGTGGTAGTCCCCTCAGGCGGACTACCGTCACCACCACCACGACCACTACCACCTGCGTCACCACCCCTACCTCCCTGGCGGCCACGGCCACCGCGACGCGAGCGCTGCTGCGGGTGGACAGCAGCAGCCGTCTCGGTAAGAGGGGTCGCCGTGGCGACCGCAGCCGAAACGTCAGTGAACGTGCACTGGGATGGGGCACAGCCGTGAAAGATAGAGACTGCCGGCGCACCGCTCGACTGAGCGATAGTGCGCTGGCGAGTCTCGATCTCAGTGAGGGTGTCGACAAAGGCGATCAGGGTGAGATCACCCGGGTGCTGGCTAAGAAAGTGGTCGCGAGCACTAGCGAGGCGGTCTGGCAGGCGCATAGCGATAAAATAGAGCGTCATGCAGAAAGGAGGGGGGAGCGCAGTGAGCTGGGCAGCAGTGCTGGCAGTGCGATAGCGAGTCTCTAGGGCACGCAAATGAGTGGCAAAGTCTGCGACAGTAGGGAAGGCAGCCAGGTCTGGGAACAGCATCGGAAAGAGCAAGCGGCCAGCAGAAGCGGAGGCAGGGGTGGAATAGCGAGCAATAACGGCGTCTAAATAAGCTTTGGCCGTTTCAACAGTAGCAAAACGCGAGCGCTCAGACACAGGGAGGGCGTGACTAATAGCAACCTGAGCTACTGCATCGCGTGAGTCCCAGACCGCACAGGCCAGCGCAGCAGTAGAGAAAGCCTCACGGTCATCAGAGGAGGGTCAGCAGGGAGGGAGTAGGTGCAGGGGGACGGGGGAGCAAGCCATCAGCATGGACAACCAGAGAGTGGCCATCCTGGCGCTGACCTGTAAGCTGGCGGCGGAGATCGGAGAGCCAGGCGGCGAAGTCAACCGCGTGGCCCTCAGCGTCCAGGCGGAGCACAAAGTCAGCCATCGTGCAGGGTCAGCGGCACAGCTCCTCAGCGACACAGCGGCACAGCAGCACAGCTCCTCAGCGGCACAGGAGCACAGCGGCGCGGGGACACGGCGGCAGCACTCTCCAGTAGGGCAGCAGCTAGGCGTCCCAGCGCAGGCGAGCAGAAGACACAGGGCCCGAGAGGACACGGCAGGCCGAGCAGGGGAGGCGGGCAGGTGCTCTGGGGCCGGGCTGGTGCTGGGAGGGGCGAGGCTGGTGCTGCTGGGGCCGGTCGGGCACGAGGAGGCCGGGCAGCGCTGAGGAGAGGCCGGGCGGCGCTAGGAAGGGGCCGGGCGGCACTAGGAGGAGGCCGAGCGGCACTAGGAGGCCAGGCAGGCGAGCGCTAACAGCAGGCGCGACAGGGGCCAGCGGGCGCGACGAGGCCTAAGGGGCGCGACGGGGCCAGCGGGCACGACGGGCCCAGGGGGGCGCGACGGGGCCGAGGAGGCGCGACGGGGACCAGCGGGCACGACGGGGGCCCAGGGGGGCCGCGACGGGGCCTAACGGGCGCGACGGGGCCCAGGGGGGGCGCGACGGGGCCTAGCAGGCGCGACGGGGCCTAGGAAGCGCGAAGGGGCCCAGCGGGTGCGACGGGGCCTAGGAGGCGCGACAGGGCCCAGCGGGCGCGACGGTGCCCAGAGGGGGCGCGACGGGGCCTAGGAGGCGCGACGGGGCCCAGCGGGCACGACAGGGCCTAGGAGGGGCGCGACGGGGCCGAACGGGCGCGGCGGGGCCCAGAGGGGGGGGACGCGACGGGGCTTAGGAGGCGCGACGATGCCTAGGAGGCACGACGGGGCTCAGCGGGCTCGACGGGGCCCATGGGGGGCGCGACGGGGCCTAGGAGGCGCAACGGGGCCCAGCGGGGGCGCGTTAGGGCCTAGGGGTCGCGACGGGCCCAGCGGGCGCGACGGGGCCCAGGGGGAGCGCGACGGGGCCTAGGAGGCGCGACGGGGCCCAGCGGGCACGACGGGGCCCAGGGGGGGCGCGACGGGGCCTAGGGGGCGCGACGGGGCCTAGGAGGCGCGACGGGCGGAAGCGGTAGGCGGGGGGATCCTAACCTAAGCGTGATACCATGTTAACGTAGAAACGAATGATTACTAGAGGTGGAAACCTAGAACAAATACTAGTTGGTTGTACTCACTAGAAGCATACCTCAGTCTAGCCTATAACTTCTACATAGATAATATGTATAAGTTGACATACTCAATGTCTTTCTAGTAAGGAAATAGTAATTCCTTTCCGAGGCTTGCTACAGGGTGTGCAACTCGATAGGGTTCCATTCCATACCTTTCAGTCCGAACCTCCTGGGCTTTTCTGGACCTCGTTAGACACATCGAGGCCTTCCGACACTTTTCCCAAACCTCCTGATCCTGAGTCCAGGATCTCCCTGGGTTTCCTATATGCTGTGTTGTCTTTCATTTTATTGTCCTTCACTCGTTCACAGTTTCGCCATTGCCCTCCGCGCTACTAGGTAGTTCTACTCATAACAGCTGGGCAAACAGAGGTACAATGTTACATTGCAAATAACAAAGAATTGGATAGAGTTCACGTACCAGAACGCTAAACAGTGATACAGCAAGCTACAACTCAGGGTAGCTGAGAACACAGGGTTAGTACTAGTAGGCTGTCAGACTTCCAAGTAGCCCTAAATTATGTATCAAGGAACACCTCCTTCTGACCTACTGTCCATATCATGATTCATCTACGGGAAGTCACCTACGAAGTATAGTAGCACCAGTTCACACACGCACTTGGTGAGGTCTAGGCCACATACTGCAAGGAGGCAGACAGACACGTCTGCTATAGCAGCTTAATCCCTCCAATCCTTGGATCCCTCCTCCCTCCAATCCCTCCTTCCTCTATCCCCTTCGCATTCTTGGATCCCTCCTCTCTGCCACACTCCCCTTCTCACTCCTACCTCCTTCCCCATCCATAGCCCTCTTTTTCTCTCCTCTCCCCTTCTCCCCATCCCCTCCCACTCCTCCCGAACCTCCGTTGCTTTGGCCCGAACCAAAGCTCCGCCGCTGGTCAGCCGCACCAGCTGCAGTTGGGCCCCGGGCTTGGGCCGAGCCTCGCCCCGAACCTCCCTCCAAGGCTGGACCCCCGCCACGCCCACCAGAAGCACCGACATTCCTAGCAATCCTGGGATCACTGCTCTTGGTGTTACCAACCATAGGGTTACCACTCGTAGGGTTACCGGTGGCATTCACGGTTCTGCTTCCCCCTTGTCTCTCTCCCATTCCAGCCTTTGCTGTGCTTCCCCCAGTAGTCACCCCTGCAGGTTGCCCCCCCCTCGTCCTCCTCCTGCTGCTCCTGCTGCTCCCTCTCTCGCTCTCGAAGCCTGAGCCCCTACTTTGGCCCCATTCCTTCTCCCTCCCTCCTTCTCATCCTCCTCCTCACTCTCCTCCTCATCCTCATCATCCGAATCATCATCTGAATCGTCGTCGTCATCATCATCATCATCATCATCATCATCATCATCATCATCATCAGAATCATCCTCCTCCTCCTCCTCCTCCTCCTCCTCTTCCTTCTGACTCCCTCTCTTGTTCCCTGCCTGACGCGCACCTGCACTCCCCCCCTTCCCCCCACTTCCACCACTTCCTCCCCCCCCACCACCACCACCCATATGCATGGACATCCCATAACCATTGGAACCCATGGCAGTAGCCCCAGCACCCATATTCATACCCATACCCATACCCATATCCCCCATGCCCCCCATGCCCCCCATGCCACCCATACCCCCCATATCCCCCATCCCCATTCCTCCCATACCCATGCCCATATGCATGCCCATTCCTCCCATCCCACCCATACCGTGGCCCATGCCTCCTCCCATGCCCGCCCCCATCCCTCCTCCCATCCCTCCCCCCATGCCCCCCCCCATGCCCCCTCTCCCCTGCGCCTGTGCTTGCTGCTCCATCATTCTCTTCTTCTCTGCCTCCCGTGCGGTTGCCTGGGAGGGGCGAATGGAGGGGGTGAGAAAAAGGGATGGGTAAAGCAAGAAAGCAGCTGGAAGTGGCTGCTTCATCATTCTTTTCTTCTCTGCTTCCCGAGAGGTTGCCTGGGGAGGGGAGAATGGAGGGAGAGAAAAAGTGACGGGTGAAGGGAGAAGCAAAGCAAGCATACAGCTAGAGGCGGCTGCTCCATGCGTGAGGAGTCTATTTTTGAGGCGCCTAAAAAATATACGGCTAGAGGCGGCTGCTCCATCATCCCTTCATCTGCTGCTTCCCGTGCAGCTGCCTGGGAGGGGCGAAGCGGCACGAGGAGAGGCACGAGAAGGGCGAGCAGACACGAGAAGGGCGAGCACGCGCGAGAAGGGCGAGCACGCACGAGAAGGGCGAGCAGACACGAGAAGGGCGAGCACGCGCGAGAAGGGCGAGCACGCACGAGAAGGGCGAGCAGACACGAGATGGGCAAGCAGACACGAGATGGGCAAGCAGACACGAGATGGGCGAGCAAGAGAGCAAAGCGGGGAGCATGGGAACAGAAGCAGCAGGTTACGGCACGGGAGGAGGCGAAGACAAGTTGGGGATAGCAGCTTACCGTCACTAAGGGTTCCACTATCTAGTAATCATTTGAAGCAGCTCGAAAATAGCCAGCTCTAAAGGATACAGACCAGCGAAGGAGCTTCTGGCTCACAATACAGAAGTGCCGTGCACTGCTTGTGCACACACGGCTCCACCTCCTGGCAGTCGTTTGAGGCACCTCAACTCACCAGCACAAGGGTCATTCTCCAGTCCCCCTGAAACTTTTGAGGCGCCTCAAAAGTCGTTTGAGGCACCTCAACTCACCAGCACAAGGGTCATTCTCCAGTCCCCCTGAAACTTTTGAGGCGCCTCAAAAGTCGTTTGAGGCACCTCAACTCACCAGCACAAGGGTCATTCTCCAGTCCCCCTGAAACTTTTGAGGCGCCTCAAAAGTCGTTTGAGCACCTCAACTCACCAGCACAAGGGTCATTCTCCAGTCCCCCTGAAACTCCCCCCGAAACACGTACCAGCAGGGGAGCGTCTGGCTCGCGATACAGAAGTGCAGTGAGCTGCTCGCCCACACAAGGCTCCACCTCCTGGCAGTCGCGGCTGATCTTGACGGCTGGTTGTCATTGTACTGGTTACGCAGGTGGCGCGTCTTGTTGAACGACAACTCGCACAGCTGGTCAAGGGATAAACGACGATGGGAGGACACATGTGAGGAGGGTTAGGGGTGGAGAGTCTATTTTTGAGGCGCCTCACAAAAGGAGGGTAAGGGGGGAAGAGTGAGTGCAAGCAGTCGCGGCTGATTTTCACGGGCTGGGTTGTCGTTGTACTGGTTGAGCAGGTGGCGGGTCTTGTTGAAGGATAATTAGCACAGCTGAAGGATGGGAAAGAAGGGGGAGAGGAGTGAGGAAGGACTTCTTGTTGAGCGACAACTCCCTTCCCTTCCCTCTCACCTTGAGCGATCTGTTTCTAAAGTTCTGCCCACAGCTGCCCATACTCTGTACATGCTTGGTGCGGGACGCACCCCTTAGTCATTGGCTATTTCCTCCCCCCTTCCCCCTTCCCCCTTCCCCCTTCCCCCTTCCCCCTCCCTCTCTCACCTTGAGCCAACTGATTCCGAAGCTCTGCCCACAGCTGCCCAATGCCCATACTCTGCTCATACTCGTTTTGAGGCGCTCAAAACTAGAACTCCTACCATACTCTGCTCATGCTCGGTGTGCTGAGGCGTGCTTTGAGGTGACTTGGAATGCGTGCATTGAGGACGCGCTAACACCCCCTCCCTCCCCCCTCCCTCTCTCACCTGGTGACTTTGAGTCGACTCAAAAGTCACCTCGTTACAATGTCACACAACACTCCCCCCTCCCTCTCGCACCTTCAGCCATCTGATCCGGAAGTTCTGCCCGTAGCTGCCCATTCTCTGGGCGTACTTCCACGGCCCTCCCCCCACCACCGCTCCTATGCGCGACATCATGAGCGCACAGCCCTGGGAAGACGAGAGGGGAAGAGGAACAAAAGGGAGGGGGTTGGCAAGGGGAAGGGGCGTGCGGGGATCATACTTCCACGGCCTTCCCCCCACCACCGCTCCTATGCGCGACATCATGAGCGCACAGCCCTTGACACGTGGGGGAGAGCGGGATGAGAGTGAGGATTGAGGGAGACAGCATAATTCCACGGCCCTTCCGCCACCATGGCCCCTGTGTGCGACATGATGAGCACACAGCCCTGGATGGATGCAGCGCCATGGAAAGGGATTAACGAATTGCGGAGAGAGTTGAAGTCACGCTGAGAGGGTAGTGGTAGCCTAAAGAGAAAACGCTACAGGAAACATATGCAGATTAGGATAGGATGCATAGACTGGAAAACGCCACAGGAAATATATGCAGATTAGGAGTGGAAAGCGCCACAGAAAATATATGCAGAGTAGAATTTAGGAGTGGAAAATGCCATAGACAATATATGCAGATTAGGAGTGGAAAACGCCACAGGCACACACCCACACACACCTTCAAGTCCACTGTCTCGCTGGTTTTTTAGGCGCCTCAATTTTTTTTTAGGCGCCTAAAAAAACCTGCAAGTCCCCTGTCTCGCTGACACTGTCTTGCACGCACGACTAATATGCCGCATCCAGCTTCCCCTCCCTCGGTGCTCCGCGTGGCATGCCTTACAAGGCCTAGGCACCTGATCTCTCACCTGGAAGTGCCGCCTGGTCTCGTTGACGGAGAAGATGAGAATGACGCTATCGCACGACTCATAAGCCTCATTCAGCTAAAAGCCGGCAAGCAGCCTCACATGAAAAGCCTGCTAGCTATTCAGCTGGAGGGGCACTGCACCTGAAAATGCCTGGTCTCATTCACGGAGAAGATGAGGATGACGCTGTCGCACGAGTCGTACACCTCGTCCAGCTTCAAAGGTACCTGAAAGACCTGCTTTCGCGCACCTGAAAATGCCTGGTCTCATTCACGGAGAAGATGAGGATGACGCTGTCGCACGACTCGTACGCCTCGTCCAGCTTCGAAGGTACCTGAAAGACCTGCTTTCGCGCACCTGAAAATGCCTGGTCTCATTCACGGAGAAGATGAGGATGACGCTGTCGCACGACTCGTACGCCTCGTCGAGCTTCGAAGGTACCTGAAAGACCTGCTTTCGCGCACCTGAAAATGCCTGGTCTCATTCACGGAGAAGATGAGGATGACGCTGTCGCACGACTCGTACGCCTCGTTCAGCTTGCCCTCGTTGTTGCGGTGCGTCGCCCACATGCCCCTCTGCGCCGACAGCTCTAGGTTCTCCAGGTTGTTGCTCTTCACGATGAAGTACCTGCCGTGGGGGTGGGGTGGGGGTGGATACATTGCAACCGAAAGAGGAGAGAGGGGGAGAGGGTTTAGGATGGATACATCATCTCACCTTGTCGTGTTGTGCCGCCGGGTTGGGGGATGGGATGGCGAGACTCACAGGTGCTGCCGGTGCCACTGCTGCGATGGCTGCCTGCCATGCATCCATCAATCCAATTATTCCAATTATTCCAATCATTCCAATCATTCCAATTATTACAATTATTCCAATCATCCCAACCATCCCAATCACACCAATCATTGCTTGCAATCATTCCAATCATCTCACCTTGTGGTGCCGGGCGGAGGAGGAATGGCGAGACTCATTGGTGCGACCGGGGACATGGCTGCCTGAGGTGCATCCATCATCATCGCATCCCCATGCATCCCTCCCCCTCCTCCCCCTCCTCCTCCCATTCCCCCTCCTCCTCCTCCCATACCTCCTGTTCCTCCGGGTCCCATTCCTCCTCCCCCATTCCTCCTCCCCCCATCCCTCCTCCCCCCATCCCCCTCCTCCCATCCCTCCTCCTGCCATGTTTGGCTGCTGCTGCATCCCAGGCCCGGCCATGTGCCCTTGATTTGTCATCTGGCCCTGGCTTTGCACGTGCCCCTGATTTGGAACGTTTGCCTGATTCGGAACGTTTGCCTGATTTGGCATGTGCATCGGCCCTCCCCTGTTCCCCCACCGGCAACAGCAGCAGCAGCACCACCACCACCGCCCCTTTCAGCAGCCCCCGAACCGCCTATCCCTCCTCCGCCTCTGCCCCTCCCCTGGCATGCGCCACTCCATTCACACCCCCCCCTCCAGCCCCCCTCCCCCTCCCCCTCCGCCTCCCCCTCCCCCAGTGGGTCCGCCTCCTGCTCCCCCTTCCGCCCTCCCTGTGCCATCCGCCTGCATCCCTTCTCCCCCTCCTTGCTGCCCCCCCTGCTGCCCCTGCCCCTGCCCCTGTTGCTGCTGCTGTTGCTGCTGCTGTTGCTGCCCTGTTTGCTGCGCTTGCTGGTGCACGGGAGCTGCCCCTACCCCTGCCCCAGCTCCCATCCCCCCTGCTGCCACTGGCGCCATATTCCCCCCTACAGGCCCTGCTCCCCCGCCTGCTTGCCCCATGGGACCCCCTGGGCCCATCTCCGCGCCTCCCCCCATTCCCCCTCCTCCCCCACGCCCCCTCCCCCGCCTCCGCCCATTACCCCACCTGATCCGCCCCCCGGCCCCATTCCTCCCCCTGGTCCCATCCCCCCTTGCCCCATTCCTCCCCCATGCCTCCCCCTACCCCCATCCCCCCACCGCCATGTTGCCCAATCCCCCGCCCCCATGCTGCTCCATCCCCCCAGGACCAGAAAAGAACCGCACAGGCTTGTTGCCTCCCCCCATGGGGCCCCCATTCCCCACCCCCATCCCCCCCATTCCTCCCCCCATACCTCCGCCCATGCCTCCCCCCATGCCTCCCCCATGCCCCCTCCCCCTCCGCCCCCCATCCCCCCCGCGAAGTGGAAGGGCGGGCGCTGCTGCAGCTGCAGCTGAAACTTTTCCGCCAAGGCCTCCACAGGGGGGGGAGGTCCCGGCAGCTTTTGGTGTCGGTAGCGACAATCCGGCCCGTTCGGGCAGAACCCAAGCTTATACCTGGAGAGCGGGGGGTGGGGAGTGGTGGGGAGTGGTTGAATGATGGGTAACAGGGATCGGGAAAATGAGAATCTTTCCTCAAGGAGAATGGCACATCGCATACAGTCACATACACTGAGTAGAGCCACGCTGCACTAATGTCACAGTCGAAACGACTCTAGCTAACTTCTTGTCCGCGTTAGATTCCAGCTGCAAACGCAAGGAAGGCAAATAACAGCAGGCAGCAGCACGAAACCATAGAGCTCATAATGCGTAAAAATAATCATGAATGAGGCCGTGAAGAGGCCAGAGCACATGCAATGGCAGGATGGCAGGATGGGGTGATGAATTTGCAAGCATGTGGGCATGCGAGGATGGAGAGGAATGAGGATGAGTGAAGCTGAGCGATCGCTGCAAAAGGAGGAGGTGAAAGGCAAACTTTTATTATCAGGAAAAAGGGTTAACAAGAAATAATTGATGCAAAATTACAAGGGAACGCCACACTCTCAGTTCCTACACCACCTACAAACGCCAACCACACTTATATACACAATTCTGGGTACAGAATAAGGAGATAACAAAACCCAGCCACCACCAAAAGGAAACATGAGAATATACAGGATACAGGAATGGCGGATAAAGGAACCACCAATTGGTCTACTAACTCAAAACCATCAGCACGAGGCGATTAGAGACCTAAGAGGAGCAGAGGAGTAGCCGTCCCCCACATCACGTACACTTCGGGTAATTTCTGAGTCGAATGTAGAGCCCTCATCACGAACACTTCAGGTAACTTGAGAGTGGACTAAAAAACCCTCATCACGTACATATTGCATTCTTTCACGTCCTCATTGGTGTGCTTGTACACGCAGTCCGGCTCCCTGCACTCGCCCCAGCGCGCGAAGTACCGGCACACCGGCATGCGGCTCTTGTCATACTGGTGCAGGAACCCGCACTCCGCGCCCTTCATACACAGCCCGCGCAGCCAGTGCCGGCACACCGTCTGCCGGTAGTTCCGCCGGAATCCCCCCCCGGGGGAGGCGGACCACCGTGCGCCCCCCCATGTCCCCCCCCATGCCCGCCCATATCATGCGGCGGCTGCTGGTGCGGTTGCTGGTGCTGCTGGTGCGGATGTTGGGGGAACTGCTGCTGCTGCTGGTAGGGGGGTTGCGGGTGCTGGGCCGATCCCGTGCCAAACCCATCGGGCCTTGCGCCGAAATTCCCGCCGGGTCCGCCAGGGCCGACGCTCGGCTCCGCGGCCGCGGCCGCACCGGCCGCAGGAGCGGGGACGGCGGTGCTGAAGGCGGGCGCGGAGGGCGGGAGCGGCCCGGGGCCGAGGGTTTGCTCGAAGTCGAAATCATCTAGAGCATCGTAGTCGTCCATTGGGGACTGTAGCGGGAATCGAAGCGGATTAAGACGCGAACGGACGGAGCGAAGGAGCGCGCTCTCAGGGCGTTCTGAAGCGGCTCGAGTCAGCCGCGATGCGAAGCACGGAGCGGTGGTGTGCGGCGATCGAAGAGAGACTTTTGAGAATTCTCAGAAATCTCTCACAAGTCAGCCGCCGCAATGCGAAGCACGGAGTGGTGGTGTGCAGCGAGTGAAGCGAGACCCCTCAAACGTAGCGACGATTCGCGACGCCTCGACTCGACTCGACGCAACACAAGCGAGGTTCGCGTCGGTACGACGGTCTGTAGTTCGCTCGCGTTAACGGCACGGCATGCTGCCAACTAACAGCACCAACGGAGACAATTCCAAGCAGCGAAACCCCAACGGCCGAGCTAGCGCAAACCCTAGAATCCGATCACTCTCCGCCAGCTGCGGTTCGAGACAAGACTATCCGTTCCGGGCTAGCTTTCCTTAGCGGCTTCATCCCCGTTCGCCACGCAGCTCTCAAGGTAACAACGCCAGATCGAGTGCTTGCTAGTTGTCACTGCAGCCTGCGGAGTCTTGATCCTAGCACAGCAGCAACCGCCATGACCAGTTGGGAAACTTACGTTATCTTCGAGGTTCGAGTGAGGATGTGATTTCGAAATGCGTCAGGGGAGATACAAGCAGGAGTTTGAGGCGGTGTACAGGGTGTTGTCAGTGTGACTAAATCGCGTCTACACCACTTCCCCAGGAGTTGAGAGACGTATACGGCTAGTACACGAGTAAAATCATCATACAATCTAAACGCAAAATGCTATATATCCAGATCATCATCAGGGTCTTCGTCCGAATCTGGGTATTCGTCATCCGAATCACGCTCATAATGAATCAAACCCCCACCTTCGTTCCACTCGCCCCCACTTGCCCCCACTGAAACCCTAGCCATACCAGCTGAGACAGTAGCACCAACTGAACCCTCTCCGTAAATCTTTGCCCCCGTGTTGTGGCTTGGCGCAAGGCTCCTTCTCCCGTCGTATATCTTGATCGGGCCAGTTTCACCTGGATACGGGCCGGAAACACGAGGAGGAAAATGAAACCAAACGCAATCAAGCCAAAGAGAAGAGCATAGAGTAAGAGAGAGACGAGGTGAGGAGGCGAAAAGAGATGAGGAAAGAGACGAGCAAGCCACGCAGGGAAGTGGGAGGGGTTGGGAGTGGTTGGGAGCGGTGGTAGGGGGTGGGAGGGGGTGGGAGGGGTTGCAACCAACCTCGGTGCTCGTATGGAAGCACAACTTTCTCTCTCGCTGCTCGCTCCTCCTCAGACAACTCCAGGCGGAAGGAAACCTGTGACAGGGAAGGTGTGAGGGGCAGAGGAAAGACGCACGAAAGTGGCGAAGGGAAGGACTCTCCACCAGCCACTCACCAACACACCAAAAGACTCTCCTTCCAGGGCTTTCCTTCCAGGGCTTTCCTTCCAGGGCTTTCCACTCACCAGCCAGTCCCTCGCCAGTCGATTATATTTCTTAGGCGATTGAAAAATATACTTTCCACTCACCAGCCACAGAATCCCATGTCGAATCACCTCAACTGCCACTCACCTCAGGTGCCTGATCTCCCGTCTTCCTGATCACCTCTTGAGTCGACTCAAGAGTCACTTTTGAGTCGACTCAAAAGTCAAGAGTCACGAGTCACTTGCATCACACAGACAGATGATTTCAACTGCCGCTCACCTCAGGTGCCTGATCTCCCGTCTTCCTGATCACCTCTACAGCTGCCGCCTCCTCGCTCCCTCCCTCCCTGCGCGCCCCATCCATTACCCCGCCATCATGCACCGTCATCCGCCCCTCTCGCCCATGCGCCTGCCCCTTATCTTGCTCCCCGAACCCTTCCCTGTGGGATCTGTCGGCCAGAGGCTGCTGCTCCGCGCTTGGAAGAGATGGCTTCAGGCCGCCTGTGCTTTTGCCACTGGCAGGGGCGGGTTCTGGTATGCTTACGTGCCCTTTGGAGTGGGCGTCTATGTGCACAGCCCCTTGCGAGTCAAACCGATACTCCTCGTGCTGATTTGAAGGTGCGTGGAGGTACGTGGAGGGGGGAAGCGGGGCGAGGAGAGTTGGGTTTGGTCTGGTTGTGGTGTTTGCACAGGGCTCTTGGAGTGGGCATCTATGTGCAGGGCCCCTTTAGGAGCACCAAGGAGCAGAGACAAGACCATGACAATTTAAGCAAGATAACCTACCGCGGTTCGGAATTTTCCCGAAGCCCTCTTCTGCTGCAACACCAGGATCCCTCCAGGCAGCAAGTGCCTATCCCCCCTTCCAGAGCTGCTGGTACTGCTGTTGCTGCCGTTGCTGCTGCTGCTGCTGCTGCTGGTGGTTCTACTTGTGCTGCTGACGGTGTTGCCTGTAGCGCCAGGAGCAGCGGCTGAGCCGGCCACCAGGTGAGGGGACACGGAGGAGAAGTGCGGGAGTGAGGGGGAAGAGAGGAGGAGGGAGAGCGGGAGGGACAGAGGGGGGGAGTGCCCTGGATGTGGCTCGAGGGAGAGGAGGGCGTGTGCCATGTGGCACAAGGAGGAGGTGACAGCTGGTGGGGTGACGTCAGCATGGGATAGGATGAGAAGTCCCGATACCGAGGCTGGAGGGAAGGGAGGGTAGAGGGGAGGGTGAAGGGGGGTGGGTGGGTGGGATAAAGAGTGAGTGAGAAAGAGTGAGCGAGTGAGAAAGAGTGAGCGAGTGAGAAAGAGTGAGCGAGTGAGAAAGAGTGAGCGAGTGAGAAAGAGTGAGCGAGTGAGAAAGAGTGAGCGAGTGAGAAAGAGTGAGCGAGTGAGAGAATGAGAGAGAGGGAAGAAGCAGGTGGGAGTCATTTGGATCATAGCCCCATAACAAGCACATGCAACCTGCTGATACAACCTGCTTCTGGCTGCATTCTATCCAATAATCCATCTCAACCCCAGCACACTCACTCATCAAGACATCAACCAGGCACGTGAGCCACCCCCTACCACGCCCCCTCATGCGCATTGCCCCATACCCCCTCTAGCCTGGGCCCATACCCCTTGCCCCAAACTTCCTAGTATGGCCCCATACCCCGAAACCCACACCCCCTACCATACCTGCATGCCTATTACCCCATGCCCATTAACCATGCCCAATATGACATGCCCATTACCACATGCCCATTACCACATGCCCATTACCCATGCCCATTACCCACATGCCCATTACCACATGCCCATTACCACATGCCCATTACCACATGCCCATTACCCATGCCCATTACCACATGCCCATTACCCATTACCCATGCCCATTACCCATGCCCATTACCCACATGCCCATTACCCCACATCACACCCCCTACCATGCCACTGCAGTCGCCTGAGCAGCGCCAGCAGAGCAGCCGGGGAGTTGTGGTGCAGAAATGAGTCCAGCTGGGAGCCGGGGATGGTTGGTGGTATGGGACAAGAGATATGGTAGAGAGGGGAAAGGGGGGGGTTGGAGGGAGAGGGACGAGTGGATGGGATAGGGGTAGACATGGGAGAAGGGGGGTAGACATGGGAGAAGGGGGGTAAACATGGGAGAAGGGGGGTAAACGGGCAGGGGGGAGAGGCCAGGGGATGCGAGGGGGCAAGGGTGGGGGAGAAAATAGAGAGGGGAGGTGTGAGTGAGTACGAGACAGGTAGAGGAGTCAAAGCGCAAGAAGCGCAAGAAGAGCAAGAAGCGCAAGAAGAGCAAGAAGCGCAAGAAGAGCAAGAAGCGCAGCATTTGTCTTGCAGAAGAGGGAGCGGAAACATGGAAGGCTTGGGCCAGAAAGGGAGACAGAGAAGGAGTGGAAACGACTTGGACCAGAAAGGAGTGGGAAAGATCCAGGGCAAAGCATCCCCCGTGAGAAGAAGAACAGATTGTGAGACGTCTCAATCAAACCCGACCCGAGGCCCTGAGCTTTGAAAATGCCAAGAGAATTCCACGTACCTGCCGAGTCAAACACAACCACGGACGGAGAGCCTTGGCCCGCGTGAGGAGTCTATTTTTGAGGCGCCTCAAAAACAAGAGAATTCCACGTACCTACCGAGTCAAGCACAACCACGGACGGAGAGCCTTGGCCCGCGGCTGAACCCGCCTTGGCTGCTGCCCGCTTGGCATACTTTTGAGGCGCCTCAAAAGAAGAAGGCCAGGGAATCCCACCACTGGATGGACGTACCTACCGAGTCAAACACAACCACGGACGGAGAGCTTTGGCCCGCAGCTGAATCCGCCTCTGCTGCTGGGGCCTTGGCTGCCAGGCTGGTTGGGAAATAAGGAGAGAGAGGACACATGCAGAGCGGACGGGATGGGATGGAGAGGGGGGGGAAGGAGAGCGAATGAAAGGAAGCTAGGCACGGTGTATTTTGAGTCGACTCGACTCGAAACACATGTGCATGGGATGGGATGGGATGGGAAGAATGGAGAGGGGGCGGAAGGAGTCTAGTTTTGAGGCGCCTCAAAACTAGATTTTGAGTCGACTCGACTCGAAACACATGTGCATGAGATGGGATGGGATGGGATGAATGGAGAGGGGGCGGAAGGAGTCTAGTTTTGAGGCGCCTCAAAACTAGATTTTGAGTCGACTCGACTCGAAACACATGTGCATGAGATGGGATGGGATGGGATGAATGGAAAGGGGGCGGAAGGAGTCTAGTTTTGAGGCGCCTCAAAACTAGATTTTGAGTCGACTCGACTCGAAACACATGTGCATGAGATGGGATGGGGATGGATGGAGAGGGGGCGGAAGGAGCGGGAATGAAGGGAGTGAGGCCCGGCACGGGCCATGGAGAGTGCACTAGGAAGCCGTGCCTGCATGACAGGTTCGGGTCCAAATGTTGTGCGCAATAGTGCCAGTGTAGAGAGCTTCAAGGCATATCGGATCAGGGACATTTCAGAATGCGGGCATTGAATCAAAGAAGATTACAGGATGCGGCGCTCAAGCGACACCAGGTCCCAGACGTTGCAAAAGCTGCTGCTGCTGCTGCTGTTGATGGTGCCGCTGCTGCTGCTACTGCTGCTGCTGCTGCTGCTGGTGCTGCTGCCTTCCTTGCTGCAGTTGTCTTGATCCGGACCACAGGACGGCAGAAACGGCTGTCCCCACCCCATGGGATCACTGTAGCAGTCCAGCGCCGTGCAGTGACATGCGCACAAGCCAGCGGGCAGCTCGAGGGTGGGAGCCATGGCCGCACGGGGCGAGGAGAGCACAAGCACGGCTCGGCTGAGAGGGTGTTGGGGGGGGGGGGGGGAAGAGGGGGTGAGAACGAGGGGAAGGTTGTAGAAGATGTAGCACGGAGCGAGGCGGGAACACCGGGAAGGTGTGGGGGATGGCGGCAAGAAAGAGGAGAAGAGGAGAGGAGGTGGGGGAAGGGAGAGAGGGGAGGAGTGCGAGCAATAGTAGATTAAGGCAGTCATCCGAATCAGCATCGTTCTGCTGTCGGGGCTGCACTAGCGGCAGCGCTCCATGTCCACGTGGCACGTGAGTGTATCCCGGACACGTGGCATGTCAGGGTCCGATACACGTCGCACGTCAGCAGACACACACATACCTCGCCTGCGCGCGATTGCAGTGGATCGCTCGAACCAGGGACTCAACCATGTGACGCAAGATCTGCCAGCCACCCAGAACGTGACACGTGTCACTCAGCACCACGGTCGGTGCCTCCATACCCTCGACGCGTCCCTCGCGCAACAGCCGCACCGCTGCGGCCGCCATGAGCTCCTGCTTTAAGATTCGAACAGCATATATGATCCTTTTTGCCCTCTTCGTGCAGCAATCCACAGCCCAAAAACTACTTCTCCCGTCCCCAGTTCACACTTCCCCGAAAAATTGTCCTCTTTTACGGAGCGATCCGCTCAAATTACGCCGACGACATGCCTACGGGTAGCCTGTTCGTGATGAATGGTCTTGGCACAAGCACAGGTATGAAACCCTAGATGAGCCAAGCATGGAATGAATCGAACGGACATCGTCACGCAAAACTTAGGGTCGAATGGCGGAGCAATTCTGAAGAAGCATTTTGAAACCAGGAGTGAAACGAAGAACGCCCCAGGATTCGGAGGGTCCCACTTCGGGAAGATTTGGCGACACTAGGGACATTTCTGCTGCTGTCACCAGCTTCATTCCATCATCCATCCATCCCAAACTTGACTTGGATCCATCTTCGCGACAGATCATGCTGTAACACAACTGAACAGAAAATCTCACGAAATTGTTCGCGAGCGGGTAATGGTGGGAGATCGTAAACGCCCGATTCGAAAATCTCGCATATTCCTTAGTGTCAGAACCAGAGCTTGAGCCAATCAAGTTCAAGCCTAGCCTCATGTTCAGCTGACCTACAAACCCATCTCCCATGCCATCCACCCACACCAAACTTCCTAGGTTTGGCTGAGCGTGAACCATGCATCCGGCCCACCGCACCGCACCACAGTCCACCTCGGCCACACATACAGCCAAACAGTCACATGCAAACACTAGCACCAACCACTTTCCATCGCCTGGTCGCAACAGAAAGTAACACTCGCATTTATTATTCGCTCCTCTGTTTTCCAGTCAACATTTTCGCTTACGCTACTCGACAAGCCTTCGCCAAAAGGGTTTCCCTAGCTGCGAATATACCCGCCCTGGGATCATCGTCAGCTGACCACGATGAATCGCCTTGTCCTTGTCCAACCTCATCTTCTTTCACTCATCTCACTCCATCCCATTCCTCTTCCTCTCTATCCACCACACCACCATTTTCTCCCTCCTACTGCTCCTACACCTGTACTTGGATAGGACTGCTAGGGTCTCTCCAAAAGCTCACAATTTCAAATCCAGCAGTCTCTCTCCTCTCCTAGACCTCTCCTCCTGTCAAAAGCTCACCCAATCCATGGATGACCTAATGGTTAGCTGAACATAGGTTCATAGTTATCACCCAAAGGCAGGACGACGTGGCCTAACCCTAGTTCAGGGCCCTGCTCTTCTGGGCCCTGGACCTAAAAGTTGGTTTAGGAGTGCTCTTAGGTACCGGAAAGTGGGTGACCGAAAGAGGGAAAAATAGTGTGGGTGATAGGGGGATAGGTTAGGTTTGTACGACCCTTATCAAGCTTCCGGGCATGGAGCCCAGAATTGCGAACAAGTTTAGGCTAGGGAGAAAAATCGGTAGCGGATCTTTCGGCGAGATCTACCTTGGTGAGCAGTTCTATTCAGCCTTTGGTTTCAACCTAGCACCATCGTTCTTTTCTCAGCAGGATCAATTATACTTTCAAGAGTTACGTCGTTTGCCGTCTCAAAATCTCAAGCTTCCACTGCCGGCCCGTTTCCCTTATTCCGTCAACAGGAACGAACGTTCAGACGAATGAAGAAGTCGGCATAAAGCTGGTAACCACTCGGACGTCATATTCTCTAATTTCGCATCCTAGGCTTATTCCTCTATGTCGCTGACGGCCGATTTTCATGGCGGTTTTACGTGTAGGAATCGACCAAGACGAAGCATCCGCAGCTACTCTACGAATCGAAGCTCTACAGGATTCTCCAAGGAGGAAGTGCGTATCTTAAACCGTAGTTCCCGGTCTCTTTTCTAAATCCTTCCGAACGATAATATGCGTTTTTTTCGTCGGCGCTATGGCGATTTTACGGATATTCGGGAGATTATCGTTCATACTTTCATGGACCACACGCGTTAACATCACCTTCTTCGCGATTTCTTAGCGTCGCTTTACCTTATCTTCCCTCGCCGCCGTTGTCGCAGCCGGCATCCCGAACATCCGGTGGTTCGGCGTGGAGGGTGACTACAATGTCATGGTCATCGACCTGCTCGGGCCCAGCCTCGAGGATCTCTTCAACTTCTGCGCGCGGAAGTTTTCGCTCAAGACCGTGCTCATGCTCGCGGACCAGCTGGTGGGTGTTCTGAACCCCCTTTTAATTATTCTGTGCCGGGGAGTTCTCTTCCGTTCAGTTCTCGCTCAATACCGTGCTCATGGTCGCGGTCCAGTTGGTGAGCGGCGGCGGGATTCTGCTCGTGGATATTATTCGGTGTGGGGGCTTTTTGCAGTGTCCGCGCGAAGTGCATCGGCGTAGATGGCGCGAGATGGCGCGAGATGGCGCGAGAGATGGCGCGGCAGTCTTACCGCTGAAAATTCGACAAGTTTTTTTCCCGTACCCCGCGTGGCTCAAGCTGCTAGCTGGAGTGGCTGTGGTTATGGGAACAGACCAGTAGCTTGGAAACAGACCGGAAGTATCGAAACAGACCGGCAGTGTCGAAACAGACCGGCAGTGTTGAAACAGACCGGCAGTGTCGAAACAGCCTGGTAGCCTGAGAGCCGGGCGGCGGTTTAGAAACAGGTTTCTACGTTGGGATGGACGGAAAGGAGGCACGCTCTAGTTGACGATATTCGCTGCTTGATCGCCGACCGACCTTGAATGGGCCACTACCAATGTGTCGAGAGACGCTGAAGCCTGAGTTGCTTCGGGAGGTTGAGGGACAGGGAGCCTCGGAGGGAGGAGCTGTAACGCAAAGAGATGGAGTTAGAACGCGGAAGCTCACCAGAGTTTCCGACGCGTGGCTTCTTAGACCTGCCTCTCTCTTCCCACACCCCGCCTTTCCCGACTCTGTCAGTTAAACCGCGTGGCGTAGGCGCACTCGAAGATCGCGACATCAAACCGGATAGTGTCTGAGTCGTTTAAACAACCAGTTCCACTCCCCAACTTCCACTGTTCCGGCAGATTAACCGCGTGGAGTACGTGCACTCCAAGAGCTTCCTGCATCGCGACATCAAGCCGGACAATTTCCTGATGGGGCTGGGCAGGCGAGCCAACCAGGTGTACATCATCGACTTCGGCCTCGCTAAGAAGTACCGCGACCCCACCACGCACCAGCACATCCCCTATAGGTGCGTTATACGGCGGCACATCCCTTACAGGTGCGTTATAAGCATCTCAATCAGCACGCCCCTTACAGGTGCGTTATAAGCATCTCAATCAGCACGTCCCTTACAGGTGCCTCCATTCTGCTTGCCCGGCGAAGGGAGGCGCTTAAAGTCGACTTCGCAGTCCTGGAATTGGAATTGTTGTCACACGTTCCCGCCCAAATTCGGCCATTCCCTGGCCTTCCCGATCGTTCCTCTCCTTGCCTGCCCTGCATCCATCCGCGCCCTTGCATCCATCCGCGCCCTGCCCTGCATCCATCCGCGCCCTGCCTAGCGATGATCCGCGAAAATCCCGCTCCTATCCTGTGTGTGAGTTGCCCTCGATGCCTCTCCGCGCGCGTTCCTCTCCTCCGCTTCTGCTCTTCCGCGCGTAGTCTTCATCCGCGAGTAGTCTTCATCCGCGCTCTCGAGTCTTCATCCGCGAGTAGTCTTCATCCGCGCTCTCGAGTCTCATCACCCCCGTTCTCTTCCCCCGCGTGCGTGGTGTGTAATGAGTCGATTTTTGAGTCGACTCAAAAATCGACTCATTACTCCACTTCTGCTTTTCCGCGAGTAGTCTTCATCCGCGCTCTCGAGTTTCATCATCCCCGCTCTCTTCCCCCGCGTGCGTGGTGTTGCTCGCTGCTGCGGTCGTGCAGAGAGAACAAGAACCTCACGGGGACGGCTCGCTACGCCAGCATCAACACACATCTCGGCATCGGTGTGTGCCTTTCGCTCATCTAGCCCTTCGTCCCTGCTCCTCTAGCCCCTCGCCCCTGCTCTCTTGTGCGCTTTTCGAGCCATGTTCATATCGCATACTGTGCTCGCACTTTGTACGCACGCTCTTGTTACCTGATTCGTTGCCTCATCCCTGCGCATGCGCTTGTTGCTGGCAGAGCAAAGCCGGAGGGACGATCTGGAGTCTCTGGGCTACGTGCTCATGTACTTCCTTCGAGGAAGGTGCGCGGTGGGGTGGCTGGGTGGTTGAGGGGATACGGCACTCCGTTTTTTTCTGTTCTCTTGACCTTTCTTCGAGGAAGATGCGCTGTGGCGTGTCTGGGTGGTTGAGGGGATATGGCACTCCGTTCGTTCTGTTCTCATGGCCTTTCTTCGAGGAAGGTGCTCTGTGAGAGAGCTGTGTAGGAGCTAGCGCTTCATGTTGAAACATGAAGCGCCGCGTGTTAGCGCACATGGCGCACAACTTCTATAGGAGCTGGCGCTGCATGTTGCGCTACGTGCTCGTGTGCTTTCTCAAAGGAAGCGAGATGCTTGCGCCCAAGTTGACACGGATGCAATGACGTGGAGAGCGCTCTGTTGGTTGGGCTATGTGCTCATGCACGCATGTGTCCTCTTGTGATTGGTATGTTCGCCTCTGCAGTCTGCCCTGGCAGGGACTGAAGGCGGGCACCAAGAAGCAGAAGTACGAGAAGATCAGTGAGAAGAAGATGTCCACTCCCATAGAGGTGCTCTGCAAGGGCTACCCTACTGAGCTCGCCTCCTACTTCCACTACTGCCGCTCGCTGCGCTTCGACGACAAGCCCGACTATGCATACCTCAAGCGCCTCTTCCGCGACCTGTTCATCCGGGAAGGTACGTGTGGGATATAGCAGGCGTCTGCTCAGTTTTGAGGCGCCTCAAAACTAGACTCCTATCACGTGTGGGATGTAGCAGGCGTCTGTTCAATCACCTCAGAGCAGCTTGCTGCGCTTCGACGACAAGCCCGACTATGCGTACCTCAAGCGCCTCTTCCGGTCTCTCTTCTCGGGAAGGTACGTGGCGTGGGGTGGGCGGGCCTCGTTCCAGACAATTCTGCAGGGTGTTTTTGAGAATTCTCAAAAACACCCTGCAAAATCAAGGTACGTGGCGTGGGGTGGGCGGGCCTCGTTCCAGACAATTCATACCTGTGGGGGTGGGCTCCCTACCCTCCCGACTATGCATGCCTCAAGCGCCTCTTTTGGAGCTCTTCATTCGGGAAGGTACGTTCGTGTGGGGCGTGGCATGGCGTGGGCGGGCCGCGTTCCAGTCAATAAGGCCTCCCTGCCGTCCG